TCTCTCTCTCTTTCTCTCTCTCTCTCTCTCTCTCACTTTCTCTCTCTCTCTTTCTCTCTCTCTCTTTCTCTCTCTTTTTCTCTCTCTCTCTCTCTTTCTAACTTTCTCTCTCTCTCTTTCTCTCTCATATACTCTAGCTCCTCCATATATGATTAACCAAACAGCATAATAAAAAACAGAATACATAGATAGCCAAAAGCACTGGGATAACAGCATGATGTATGTCTGACTCTTGTACGTATATGAAATGAAAGAAAGTAAAACGAGAGAATGGAACAAATAAGATGAACGACAGGTGACACGAAAGAAAGGAAGAAAGAAAGAAAGAGAGAAAGAAAGAAAGAAAGAGAGAAAGAAAGAAAAAAAAGAGAGAAAGAAAGAGAGAGAGACAGAAAGAAACAAACAAACAAAAACACTACGGAACGAAAAGGAATCGACGAAAGAGCGAACACATGGAAAAAATTAAGTTACGAAATAACCAGCAAAGATAAAGCATAAGATGAAAACATCTCAACTGGTAACATGCAAAGGTGTACTCACGAGACTCCAGTCACAAACTAGTTCCACAAATACAATACGTACCTGAAAAGAGAACAAAACAAAAATTCATTAACGACTTTGAAAAAGAAACTGATATTGCAAAACGCTAATCAATATCCGAATATCTCAAAGCAGAATGCTGACAAAAGAAAATATGAACGAAAAAGCTAGTACGTGTATTCATGGATAAAGAATATAAACAAAAGGGAGAAAATGAAAGTAAGAACAAAAATTAGTTACATAAGAACATGAAAACGCTGCGTTCACATCACTTCCTCATAGTTGGAACTTCTACGCAGTTTTCCCCCTTAAAAAAAGCAACTCGAGAAATGTGAAAAAAAACAAGAAAAGAAAAAAACGACCAAAAAACAATAATGGTAGGTACTGCAAAAACCATAAATGTGAAGCAGAACGGAAAAAACAACACCCGAAAAGAACAACAGCAAAAAAGACATGTTTTATGTGTTGTTATTTTTTTATATAATCAGAAACGCCAAGGAAAAAAAACGAACAAAAACATTAAAAAGCAATAAGACCAAGTAGACCAAGAATCACAAATGAGAAGGAAAAACACCAAAATCACACACACTAAAAAAAATGCCAAAACAACAAACCCAGGATGGAAAAATAAAGGAGAAAAAAAAACTCTTACCGAAAAACGTGGCCGAAACGAAATTGTTATTCATAGAAAGCTTAACATCACAAAAGACAGAGAAATGCCCAGCGGTCTCTAGGAGACAGGGTGATGTCAAAACAGCTCAGCGGTTCCGCTCATCCCACAGAATCGGAAAAAAGACACCAAAGAGAAGATGGGTCCGAAATGAAAGCTAAAAAAACAGACCCCTCACAGACCAAAATGCACCCGGCAAAGAATCAGAGCACGTCACAAGAGCAGAAGAAACCCCCAAATAACAGAGAATTCCCTGAATGTCAGGACGAGACCAGACCAGAAGGGTAATCGAGCATGCAGCAACCTGCAGGCGCATTTCAGGTTATGTGCAACTAATGGGTTTTGTTTAAAGTTTTCATTTCCCCGTTGAACATTTCGATTTTTAGAGTACACTTTTATTAACCTTGTTTTTGTTAAGTTTTTTATTTACGTTTTTTAAAAACTTTTTACAAAATATATGCGTTCGATTCTGAGCTTAAGCTTGAGTATGTTATATGAGAACGTAATTTAAGCACCCTTTAAAAAGACAAACTTTCCAACTCGGGAGTAGTACTCATGCCTTTTGTGTGTTAGGCAGAAGAGTCCAACCTGTACACCACAGACATATACCTCTGAACTACAGCGGTTAGGCTCTTCACTGTCGCAAAAAGAAAACTTGGCAGGTAAAATTTCTGTGTGAGGAGAATTTTAATCATTACAGATATTATCGGTCTTTCTGCTGGGACATCGTATCCCTCCCTCTCAGTCTGGGTTGGCCCTAACAGACAGGGTCGAGGATCGCCTCCTAAATTATCTAAATTCTGTCGATGGGGTTGTAGGGACACTTTTTTAAAAACCCACGATAGAAGGTAGTCAACTTTATCTATGTTAGTAGCACGATCCCTGTACAGAATCCCCCACACCGCCGCCGACGACGACGCCACAGGCTGAGGAAAACACTGTGAAGAATTCAGGCAGCCGCGACAGTCAGCGCTTAGAAACGCCTGACAGACAATGACTGACCGCAACCTCCATACTCCTGACGGCGAGAGGGTCATTGGGCCACTCGCTGACAGAACCCACGGACAAAGCAAAAACAGTTCATCTGCAATACATCGTTAAACTAACGCTACACAACGGATGTGGATACACGCGTTTAGCACAACTGGGGCCGCCCGCAGAGAAAATATGGATTTAGAGTTTAAAAGATTCTATCTGGGACGGATTATTTAAAACAACGATGTATTATTGTTGTGGATAGAACCTTTTGACACCAGTGAGACCGCCCGCTGACAAAAGTAAAGCCAGTCTGAGATCCAGGTGTCGTTCCGACGTTGACACCGTCATTGATGAGCGCGAAAGAGGTGTATCTACCAAACAGATGTGTGCTGATCACAGGTCAAACGCTGCATTCCTTTCTCTGCAGCCTGCGGCTTATCGATTCCAGATTTTGACCAGTCTATCGCAGCTACCGGCAGGGAAAACAGATGTGTCTATGATCTTTTGTTTTCTTCCTGAACCGCAAGACTAATTTGTGGTTTGATTGGGAACAGATAAAGTTACGTCAGTGTGTGGGAACGATCACGTCCATCTAGATAGACATGGACTGCTTTTCAGATGGACACACAGTCACCCCGAGTTGGCGGCAGTCACACACGCATACATTCAGGCATGTAGGAAGACAGGGAGACAGACAGACGGACAAAAAGCAGAGAGACAAACAGACAAACGAATAGATAGACAGAAAGATAGACGTAGAGACAAAGAAAACATTACATTGTTTTTTCAAATCCCAGCCTTCGACCCTGCAGGACACATAATACGAAGTTTTCGAAAGCAGGAAAAATGGATACTGGCTGTAAACGATTAGGGGTACGGACAATGGGGACAGAAGGGAGAGAGTGGGTGGGAGAGAGAGAGAGAGAGAGAGAGAGAGAGAGAGAGAGGGAGAGAGTGGGTGGGGGGGGGGTGTGTGAGAGAGATCGCGTACGGTCAAATTTCTCTTTGCAAATAGATCAATTTGGTAAATAAAGGGAGGAAGAAAAGAAAACGCCAGGGGAAATCACTTTGAAAGGATTATCATTCAGAAATGGGAAACGCCCCCGGGCCCGTTCAGATCTACCAGAGGATAAAGACACACACGGGACGGACGATGACTCGTGGAACCGCATGACATTTGGTCCATTTTGCGAGGTGACACACGAGGGTAAGCTTTAAGAAATCGAGACTGTATAGGGGTCGGTGTGCGGTAATCTTGCAAGTCAAGCGGTAGGTGCTGGGGTCAATGGGTGGTCGCATTCACGGCCAATTGCTCCCGCCGCGACCACTGGACGCCTGGGACGGGGCAGAGTCGCCAGGTCTTAAACACTGACCATCTCTGACGAACTGCTGGACTCACTCTCTCCACGATTATCGTATAAGCCCCTTTTTCGAAAATGATTTCCTAGTTCGAATAATGAATTTGAGACTAAGCTGAACCTGCGTTTTCGGATTGTTTTTCTAAAATAAAGGACCTTCTGCAGTTTGACATTCTCTAGGAATTCTGAGATAATGCCGGCCTTGGAAGGGCTCGGACACGAATAGGAACTGGCAGGGTATGAAGGTACATGGTGCCATTATTTCTCTCCTGCTCGTCAACGGAGCATGCCTCTCTGAGCGGGCTTAGCGGAGTTCCTACATGACGGTTTATCTTATGAGGTCCCGCCCTGGCCAGGCTGCCGGACACTGAGCTGACCCCAGGATGAGGGTAAACGGCGGTCTTCTCGGCCCGCGATACCCCGATAATTAGGCAACGGCTGACTTATCAGGAAGCCGGACTGCTTAAGAGAGTTTACATAGTTTAGAGTAAGTGGGTAAGTGGTTTAACACTTTTAAATACCTGTAGCTCTTGTTTTCTCGCTGTCTCTGACTAACCTCCTCCCCTCCCTTCTCTCTCTCTCTCTCTCTCTCTCTCTCTCTCTCTCTCTCTCTCTCTCTCTCTCTCTCTCTCTCATTTATATCTCTCGTTCTTTTCTCTATTTGTTTATTTTTGTGTGCGCTCAAGTGCGTGTACGTCCCTCTCTCGCTCTCTATTCCCCCTGTGTACAAGCGAACGCAAGTGTGTGTGGGGGACGTGAACTAAACTCGGATTTTCTGTGTGCTTCTCTATGGACGCTGGTCAACGAAAATGGTAATGGAAAGACAACCTTCCAAACACTCACGTTTATACATGCTGCATTCACATAAATTATTATTGACACCTAATCCTTCCTTCTAAAGGACCTCATAACACCACGGAGAATTCGAATCAGGCCTAATGCTACCAAGTTTTAGGACTGTTTCAGTTAAACAGATAACGATAGGTTGCTTAAGGAAAAGAGCAATGTAGACAAACAGAAACACAAGACACACTTAAGAAGTAGGACCCATGTGGGCCAGTGGCGCCCTTCAACCACCTGCGAGGTTCTTATGAGTCCAAAAAGATGATCGTCTTATCTGTATAGGAAGTGGGCTATCAAATGCTGTATCTCGTACTTAATCTCTTAATCTCCTTTATATTCTCATCAATCCCTTACCACCCCCTCTCCCCCTCCCCTCCCCCCCCCTCTCTCTCTCTCTCTCTCTCTCTTTCTCTCTCTCTCTATCTCTATCTCTATCTCTATCTTTCTTTCTGTCTCTTTTTCTTTCTCTCTCCCAACCTCTCTCCGCCTTTCTCACCTAATTTCTCCAACAGACAATCATAATATACAAATCTTATACCAGCTGACTTTATACCAGCTGCGCCCTTCAACCATCTGTTAGATTCTTAGGAGTATAAACAGATGAGTCTTATCTGTATAAGAAAAAGACTACAAAACGCGTTATCTGTTCTAACTTAATCTCTAAATCTTTTGTTTCTTCAAACCGTGTCCCCACATCTTTCTTTCTTTCTCTTCAAAATATTTTATTCATATACCCCTGTCTCATCCTCCATCTTCATTCCCATCCCCACAAAAATACCACGAATAAAAACCACAACCACGCAAGATAAAAAAAAAAACAAATGCAAAAACAAACCAAAAATAAAACGCATTACAAGAACAAAAGAAAGCAATATAAATAAACCCTAATATCCCATAAGCAACAACCCCCCCCCCTCTCCTTTTTATCCCTTCACAAAACACAGCTTTCCCCATCGTATCTCCCAACAACCGGTCAATTGGTGCTTCCTATGTCCACGCAAACTGCTTCCCATCAAGCCACGATCTACTCCGTGGAAATGACCACCGTTTAAGTACGTACGCGGGTCTGAAAGGAATACTTTGTTGCCCGAACAAGAAGCCCCGTAGACGTACCTCGATGAATATTCATGGGCAAGGCTTATGAGTAAGTCGGGGGTAATATTCGCCAATTTCCGAACAACGACTTGCGTGTCCCCCATTTGCATGATGAGTACATGTATTTTGAATATGTTTGGACGAGTTCCTCAACATGTCACGCAGATAAAGCGGTACGAGTCGGAAACAGCGCGGCTCTCTCTCTCTCTCTCTCTCTCTCTCTCTCT